TTTTTTTTTTTTTTTTTTTTTGTTGGTAATCATGTTAAAAAACAAAGGTGGAATGTAATTGCAGCCATAATCCTCTTATTTGTCATAAAATATATAATTCTGTTTTGATTAAACACATACCAGTTTATAAAGTCTTCACCGGCTATGTTGCCAGCTACGGTCAAAGCTTGGCTCCATTCTCGCCGCTCCTCCTCTGTTTTACGAGCACATGTTTCGTCGAAAACTTTTCCGAAATCTTCGGTTTGTTTCCGCACATGAGAAGGATCTACACCATAGAAGACGGTCATCACGATTTGTCCTACGGCTGGTTCCTTGCACTTCAAAATCTCCAACAACTCATCTAAACACCAACTTGAAGAAGCATAGTTCTTCGTGAGCACCACGATCGAGATCCTTGATTCCCTAATCGCTTGTTTGAGAGCAGGTGTGATGGTTTGGCCTCTTTCGATCCCTTGATCATCGAACATCGTAATCCCATTTTCGTTAAACTGCCTGCGTAAATGACTCAGAAAGCTTTTACGGGCATCTTGTCCATGGAAGCTCACAAAGACGTTGTATCTCCAGTTGCGAGGCGAAGAAGAAGAAGGCGCCATGAGATAGAGTAGCTAAGAAGTTCAAGATCAGATATACAATAATGTGTCTGGATGAGCCATATATGTAAAAGAGAAAAAATGGAAGAAGACTACTTATTCACCGCTGACTCTTGACTTGTGAGAAAGAGAGATGAAGCTTCTTTGCTTTTGCTATGAAAAGGAATATTACCCATTAAATAGCCCTTAAATAATTGAGTGCTTTACATATTGACGTACTTTTATTGGCACAAGAATTTGTGTAGAATTGGAGGATTTTTAAAGTTGAGGGATTTCAAAAGCTGAGTAGATTTAACAAATATTTTGTATGAATTTCCGTAGAGTGTTATAGAATTTATAGATTTGCATACATATTTTTTTTCATAGGAAATCTCCTCTTGAGGTAATATATATACAAGTCTTTTTAGATATCATTTTTTCTACGTCAAGCATATATATATATTGTTTTCTTTCGTGAGCTGCATAGCGATAATCTCTTTCTTTTCACCATCCCTTATATATTAAAAGAGAATTTTGTTTAAAAATTATAATCTTAAGTTTATAATAGCTAAAAATAACTTCAATCATATGTGGCATAGCTCTTTGTCTTCTATTTCAGTTTAGAAAAATTTTAGAGCATATAACATAATGTATAGTCTAAACATTACTCTCTAGCAATAAAATATTTCGTAGACTATAGTTGGTCACATATATCAAATATTTATTGTTTCGCATGCCTTCCTTAAATGAAACATACACAATTACATAATGTGATTAAAATTTATATGACAACTAATGATTTTAAACAATAAAGATTTAATAACAATTTGTATACTTTTTCTTATTTGGTTTATTTCTTTAATATTAAAATAAATTACACAATTACATTAATCATATAATCAAAAATTTAGATTTTTTGGTGTATGTTGTATTTTGAATTTTTAAAAATGAGTATAAATTACTAAAACTGTTAAAAGTCTCACATAAACTTTTAAGATCAAGGTTTTAATTTTTTTCTATATTAAAATATAATGATTATAAGACTATATGAAGAAATAACTTTAGTTTATATATATTTCATATCGTATAAACTAAACTATACTTCGTATGAAAATACATACTTATATTTTGATATTTGCATTGAACATATATTGAAAAGTTAATATTTTAACTTTAAAATATGTCATTATTTTTAAAATAATTATAAATTATTGAAACTACTAAACATCTCACATTAAAAAAGTTCGTTGGTGTAAAATTTTGTTACACAAATATGCAAATAATCATAAAATCATACGAGTAGAAACCTCATTTAATAAATATACATATTAAAAGTGGGCTATATTACTATGTTTATATCATTTAAATTTAATTATATATCATGTAAAATATATAAGATTGATTATTTTGATTTATTTACCCTAATTGTGAATAAACAAGAGTGATAGTTAAATTTATATGCATACGCCAATTTATTACATAATAGTAACTGATTTCTTAGTTATTTAATATATATATTTCTTATTTTACTATTTAGTATTTTATAATATGCACAAAAATATAAAATAAATAATAAATAGAAAACACTTATTGTGCATAAAGTGCAGATCTTAACCTAAGTATGTATCTCTTTAATTATTTTAAGTCTTAAGTATTTTCTAAATCCCATGTCAAAACAAACAAACGAAATGAGAATAAAATTCAAAATAAATATTGATATCGATTAATGATCAAAATAATAAAAAAACAGAACAAGAGAAAAAGTTGAAGATAAATAGGATTGACATGTGAATGTAAACTTCTCATAACCATAATTAATTTTTAAATTGTTAAGTCATGATATAAAACTGAGTTAATGTTTAATTTGTTAATTTGTTAATTTTAATTCTTTTAAATAATTATGGTTATGTTAAATCATGACCATAAATAATTTTAAATTGTTTATTTGTATTTGATAAACTTAAAATATTGTTTTTAAAAATTATTTAAAATTTAACTTAATTTTTATAAAATTATTTTAAAAGACATAATTTGTAAAAAAACATAATTTTCTAATATTATTAGACAAATAAATAAATTATATCAAATTAGTTTTGAAACTTTATATATTTTAAATGCAAATATTTTACCAACTGCTTCTTAAGAAAGCATTATGGAACTTGTTAATACTCTACCAATCAAGCCCAGTGACACTCCGTTTATTTTCCATCACTCGAATACTGAAAAGCGAAAGATATATGAAATCGGGTCCACTAAATTCTAAGTTTTGATCTACAGTTCTAATTACAACAAGGTGTTTTACCCACACATGCGGACATAATTTTCGTACAAGTTATTATTAGTCTATATTTTATTAATTCAAACCAATATAATAAGTTATGATTTATGTTTTAAAATTAATTATAAATGACAACACTCATATAAAAAATATTTTTACAAATGTGTTGCTTTAATTTATTTTAATTATTATTTTTTCTATCTTATTCTTTTATTTCTATAATAAAACAAAATTTCAAGATAACAATATAATACATAAGAAGTATCTTATTTTCTCAATATAAAATTTTTAATAGAAATTCTTTTTTATTTTATAATAAATTTTATATGAAATTATTAAAAATATGACAAATAATCAAAATTATCTAAATCATGGAGAAATTACAAATCAGATAATTAACTTAAATTTTTAATAGAAAATATATGTTCAAGATAACAATCTAATATATAAGAATTGTCTTATTTTTTTAAATCTAGTTTTATTATATACATTCGTTTTATTATTTAATAAATTATATATGAAATTATTAAAATATGATGAATAAGCAAAGTATAAAACCATGGAGAAGTTGATAAATCAATATTGCTTTCTTTATATTTAACTATTAATATTTTAACTTAATTATTAATTTTTATGATAAAAAATATATTTTAAAGATAACAATATAATACATAAGAATTATCTTGTTTTCTAAAAGTATAATATTATTAATAGAGATTCGTTTTTATTAAATAATAAATTGTATATGAAATTATTTAAATAATATAAATAAAAAAATTTACCTAAAATCAAGGAGAAATTGACAACTAAGCAAAATCACTTCTTATATAATAGTATAGATTGTTTCTGATCCTACGTATATATAATTATATAAAAATTCCAAAATTCTAAAATTTCAAATACATATAAAAAAAATCATATGTAAATTTTAAATTTGTCAGTACTAAAATTTTATATTTTAATTACATATATTCATCCTGCGCAAGGCGCATGTCTTATCCTAGTTATTATTTATTTTGTTTCTGCATAGTAATCTTGCTTTCCAGATGCTGTTGGATAATTCCAAACTTGTAGAAACTTAACATATTATTGGATGTTTAATATGTTAAGGATACACACAAAAAGGAAATTCAGAAATAGAAAAATCAAGTTTTTTATTAGATTAGTTTGTGTTTTTCATATCTCACATGTTTAAGAGAATTGTCTTTCACTATAAATATTAACCTTATGGAGAGGTGTTCCATAAGAGATCTAAGAGAAACATTGAATGCTTTAGTTTTGAGTAGTTTCTAAAGCTAATAAGAAAAGTTGGTCTTATTAATTCTTTGTTTCTAGAGATTTGAATTGGTATCAGAGCCTCAGGTTGGAGACTCAGTCTAAGCATAAGTTGAAGCTTTGTTCCTGGTGCTTGTGACCAAGAGATCACGCGAACAAGATGGTGGACGTGACTAGGGCTCCACGCACGAAGGACCGTGGAACTACATCCATCAATGTCCTATATTGTCATCGTCAAACTATACCGTTTGGTCGATGAGGATGAAGGTTTTACTTCGTGTTCATGAAGTATGAGACACGATTGAACCTGGTTTGGATGATCAAAAGAAGAACGATGTGGCGATTACTCTTTTGTTTCAATCCATCCCTGAAACTTTGATTCTCCAGGTGGGAGATCAAACCATAGCAAAAGACATCTGGAACGCTATCAAGTCACGACACCTTGGATCTGATCGTGTAAGGGAGGGGAGACTATAGACGTTGATGGCGGAGTTTGGTTGAAGATGGATGATAATGATACGGTCGATGACTTCGCGAGGAAGATATCGGGCATATCATCCAAAGCAGTCTCGTTGGGTCAGAAAATAGAGGAGTCCAAGATGGTTAAGAAGTTTCTGAAGGTTCTTCCAAGTCACAAATATATCCATATCGTAGCGACGTTTGAGAAAGTCCTAAACCTCAACACTACGGCATAAGAGGACATTGTAGGAAGGATCAAGGCGTATGATGATCGTGTAGGGGGAGAAACTCAGAAATAAGACCAACGGAAGCTCATGTTTTCAAATAGTGACCAGCAATGTGGTACAGGTAGAGGACGGAATGGTTGAGGCAGAGGTCGAGGTAGGTTACACGACCAAAAACATGTGTCACACACTGAAGATAAAAACTCGAAGAAGGATCGTTCAAAGGTGATATGTTGGAGATGTGACAAGCCGGGGTCACTATGCAGCTTCCTGTCTTGAGAAGTCAGTGAAGAATCAAGAAACCAACCTAAACGAGACACAAGAGGCCAATGCACTCTATGTACACTAGTTGGTGTTCTTGAATGAAGACAAGGTGATTCCGAAGAATCTTGATATCAACAAAGGCGATGCAAGTGTTTGGTATTTGGATAATGGAGCGAGTAATCACATGACGGGAAACAAGGAGTTCTTTTAAAGTTTGAATCAAAACACCAAAGGGAAGGTGAATTTTGGTGATGGATCATGTGATGATATCGTTGAGAAGGGTGTGATTACCTTTGTGTGCAAGACTGGAGAGAAGAAGGCACTCAAAGACATCTACTACATACCTAACCTGAAGCACAACATATTGAGTCTTAGTCAAGCAACAGAAAACAGATGTGAGGTTAACATGAAAGATGTCTACTTAACGCTCACGGATTCGCGTGGAAGGTTGCTTGTACGTGTTACAAGATATCCAAACCGTCTCTACAAGACCCCGATGTAGGGATGTCAAAGTAGGGACTGGGCCGCGGGACAGTCCCGTTAAAACCTGTGGCGGGGCGGGTTTGGGCCTAGGAATTGGTATCCCGCATAATTTTGGGCCTAATGGGATGGGTCATTCG